TTTCATGAAGGATCAGATGTTATGTGGATGCCAAGGTATTTATAACAGTGCACAGGCTCCAGTGGAGCGCTATTAAGGTAGTAAGCAGGGCAAACGGCATTAGGACGGGACACACGCATTGACTTGCACTTGGTGACGTTTAGTTCCATTAGCCATGTGCGGCACCAGTTAGATATTGAGATTAGATCTGACTTCAATAAGGTTGTGTCACTGTCAGTGGAAATTTCCCGGTAAATAACGCAATCATCACCAAATAAACACACAGAGGATGAAATGATGGCTGGCAGATTGTTGATGTAAATAAGATAGAGTAATGGTCCTAAAACCGAACCTTGCGGAACACAAGAGTTAACAGGTGTTAAATGGGAATTAGAGCTATTAACAGTTACGAATCGTGAGCGATGAGACAGAAAATGTTGAATCCACTGAAGAGCGCTGAAGTCAATATTAAGTTTACTCATCTTAAAAAATCAATAATTGGTGACTGACCTTATCGAAAGCTTTCGAGAAATCGAGGAATACGCGGTCCGCCTGGGACCCGCGGTCAAGAATGGAATGCAGATTATGAGTGAAACATAGAAGTTGCGTTTCACAGGAAAATGTTTTACGAAAGCCATGTCGGTACAGACTGAAAAATGCATTAGAATCAAGAAAGTTGGCAAGGTAGATGACGCGTTCGAAAATTTTGCAAGGAACGCTTCTACGTTCACCCTATGGTTCAATCAAATGGGCCAATCAGAGGCAGAAACACAAAGCACACCAACTAAGAACGTCGTCGAATAGTTGTTTGTAGTGCAGTCTCCCTTTCCTTTATTTTTCCTTCGAGGTTCCCGAAAAAGGCTACCGTATATATGCAACTATTTTCCGGAGAGCTGGAGTTGTTAGGAAGGTTTCAAACGTCGTTGCTCCTTTGATTTCTTGTTTCTCGACGCTCAAACTAACTTTCAAACTCATTGTTACGGGGAAAGCTATTCCCATATTGCTAAAAGGTCCCTGCTTCGCTAAAATGTTCCATATGGCGACCGTGAGCACCTCGTGAAGTAAATCCATGTGGGCAACTTTCGGCGTAAACACGCGCACTCGGCCATAGTCCCATTGTTGTTCGCAGAAAACTGGCATGTCGAGGGGACCCCATACGAAGAAACAGTTTTCATCTTCTGTCTGGCTTCAATTAGAATAGGCATCAACGAGACCGCCAAAAAGACGACAGTTCTGTCCTCTTCGCCACGGAGCGTTGAAAGTCCCGTCCCGTTTACCCTAAAACAAAAAAACAAAAAAAAAACACGTGTTTGCAGGCATTACTCTCCGCTACTTCGTCCTCCCCTAGCCTGACAGTGCGGTGGGAACTACGTGCTCGTTGGACCAATCAAATGCTGAGCTTACGCCACGTGATCCCGCTCCCACTCATACCCACGCGCAGAGAGGGGAGCAGGTGGTGAAAGGGAGGCAAATGACTGGTACGCAGAGCGCGTATGCCCCACCGCACTGTCAGCTTAGAAGGGAACGGAGTATACACTACGCATGGATTGGTTCCGATGACTGCTAACATACGCTGCAGTCCATCTTAAGAAAAAAAGAGTACGGAGGGGGGGGGGGGGGGGGGGGGAGGGGAGGGTTGGAAGGGGGGCGAACTTCCGAGTGCACCCTCCCGCGACCCGGGAAAAGGAAGACGTACGAAGCCCACAAAAGAACATTGCAGTGTTTGATTGTCCAGCGCCGGGTACCACTTGTGGACAACCACCCAACGAGCGGGTCCTGACCTTCGCCGCATGTTTCAAGAACTGAAGGGGCGTATTCCAAGTACGCTATTAGCCAAACCGCGTGACTAAAGCACGTGTGCGTGTGTTTGTGAGCGCTTGCGTACAGGCGAGTTCGGAGGTGGGAGGAGCGGACTTGAAGAAGCTGTAGGGACAGAACGAGCGGGTTGGTATGGATAGTAAACTTGAGGAAGAAAACGAGAAAGGACGGACAAACACAAACTTCCAAAAGCTTCTTCGGGATATGCGGCGATCCAGGCATAACACCGACAACTCTGAGAATGAAACGCGAAAGATGTAACGAGAACCAGGCGCGTAGCCAGGGGGAGGGGGGGGGGGGGGGGTGTTCAGGTGTCAGAACACCCCCCGAAATTTTACTTTATTATATATATATATATATATATATTCTTTTTTATTGTGTGTGTGATTGCACCAGCACTTTGAAACACCCCCCGAAACTATTTTCTGGCTACGCCACTGACGACAACGGATCAAAGTGCGGCGGGCCCAACCGAGAAGGACTTTTAGAAAAATGGTCCTTTTGAGAAAGTACAAACGAGAAGGTCGAAACGAGAACGGGCCCAAATAGTAACCACCCCTACGGACCTGCCTGAGTAGGTCCGAGCGGGACAACAACTTTCTCTCTCTCTCTCTTATTATTATTTGTTAGGAGAAATAAAAATATTATTTTTTGTGAAAAAAAAAGAAAAGAAAAGCCTTTTTTTATTTTGCTCAAAGCCGTTTTTAAAAAGCAGCAAAGCACTCTGAAGCCAGCTACCCGTCAAAACAATTGGGTCTGCTTGTACCGCGACGGTTTTACTATGCCGAAGACGAAGAGGAATTAGAAATTACAGCGTGTCTTCGGTTTCACTTGCAGTGCCGTTACCTTTGCCATGCCTCTTTTCGCGAATGCTGCTGTAATATTTCTTAAAATATTTTAATGCGAAATATTTTCTATTTTAGTTCAATTTTGTTTTGCAATGTATATACATACGGTTTTTTTGTCATCTTTACAGATTTTTTTTCTTTTTTAGTGCCGTGAAAGTTACACTTATGCGGTTTGTGCAGGTGATCAGTTATACGGCCAGGGGCACATTAAGTGGGTGGTTAATTTTTACGATAAGTCGGTTAATTAATTTAAATTCTTTAATTAAATCTTTAATTAGTGAAACTATACATATGGTTACAATTGCAAAACTTAGAGAGCGTCTTCGAAAACCACTCAATCAACTCTTTTTAGAACGACTTTAAGCTCGTGGGAAACTAGGGGTGCATCAAAATTACCACTCGTGAAGCAGACGCAAAGCTGGCAGTGGCAAAGCGCGGATGATTAGATTATCATAGCGCTCCACCACAGCCAGCTTTGCACCTGCTTCACGAGTGGTAACTTTGGCACGCCCCCGAGTTTCCCCACGAGCTTCAAGTCGTTCTAAAAAGAGTGGATTCAGTGGTTTTCGAAGACGCTCAGTAAGCTTCTAATTGGAACCATGTGTCTATTTTCACTGGTTAAAAAGTTAATAAACGAATTTTATTGAATTACCCGACTTATCGCAAACATTATCCACTCACATAATGTCCCCCTGGCCGTACAACTGACCTGCACAAACCGCATAAGTGTAACTTTCACGGCTTATTTTAAAATAAATCTGTAAAGATGGAAAAGAAGATCCGAATTTATTTTATAATTCTTATTTTGTTTTATTTATTTAACGATTCACGGCACGGCATGACGTAGCTACCCCTCCCCCAGAGGCTTTGGGCTGCAGTGTCCGTAGCCCGCACCTTAATCCGGCCGTGTTCGTGGATCGTTCCGGTGACTCCGATAACTAGACTCCGCCGGCACCTTGGCAAGTGCATCACATCAGTAGAGAGTTTTAGTAGATCGTTCCCATGACTCCGATAACGATACCCGATACTCCGCCACCGCCTGCCTTGCGCATGCATAGTATCGTTATCGGGGCTATCGAGGGTATCGGAACGATCTACTAAAACTAGAGAGTTTTAGTAGATCGTTCCCATGACTCCGATAACGATATCCCGATACTCCGCCACCGCCTCCCTTGCGCATCCATAATATCGTTATCGGGGCTATCGGAGGTATCGGAACGATCTACTAAAACTCTCTACTCTCTAGTATCAGGTATCGTTATCGGAACCATCTCCAAAAGCTCTCTACTGACACTACTCCTCGCTAGTGTTCACAAAAGAGAGTTTTGGCAGATAGTTGCGATAACGATACAATGCATGCGCGAAAGCGCCGGCGGAGTATCGGGTACCGTTATCGGAACTATCTACTGAAACTCCCCAGAGGCTCGAGTCCGATGCACAGAGGGGTACGTCCTCCCCAGGGACAGAAGAGATGCGAGTGCATGGGGGGTGAGGTTCAGATGATACACATCATCTGGGCTCCGCGTCTCGCGTGCGACCCAGAGCGCATTTCCGGCCCAGGAAGGTTGGCCCGGAGTTCCTCGGGAGGGCACTGGTGGACGGTGCGTGTCTTCGAAGCGAAGAGCTGCCGGGGCAATCCGAGGACCGCGACGGCTGGGCCAAGGTCGCACGCCATTTGGCCGAGAGCATCGCCCTGGGGTGGGCCGAAAGACAAAAAGCGGGGCCACACCGGGGGCGCCGTATTCTCACAGAATGCGCTCCCGAAATGCGTTGGCCCACGTCTTCCCACACTGCGAAGAAACACCCGAACGGCAACAAACGATTCCCGAACTATTGTTTCCGAGGTAATTACGGCTCATTACAGTCTCTCACACCGGGCACCTTTCTTTGGGGGGGCCCCCGTGGAAGCTCCTCCTCTCAATTAGATCGTCGCGCTGTGTGTAAAACAGCCGAGAAGACAATGAGGGCCCTTCCCAATTTGCAAAGAAGGCGTCGTTTAGGAACGGGGGAAGGGGTCCCCGGTCCAAAAGGAAACAGCGTCTGTGGGAATCAACACCTCTGCGCTCCCAGCGTTCCGAGTGGCGGTGCCCGCACGGCACACGCACGTAGCTACCCTTCCGAGTCGCGAATGGGTCCTGGGAAAAAAAGGGGGGCCCGCCAGAGAGGGAAGCTCGAAAAAAAGAAAAAGAAACGCTTCCGAAAACGCGCCCCGCGCCGCCACGCACAGCGGCACAGCGCGGACGGAGTCTCCCACGAAGCCCCTCCTCCCCCGCTTGCCCTCCCCCAATCTCCTTAACTCCTCCTCTCCACTCGCGGAGAGAAAGAGAGGGAGGGTGCACGTTGGCTGTTGCCAATCGCGCCGCCAGCCCCCAGAGTCTTCGCGTCGTCTGCTCAAGGAGATCGGCTCACGACCAAACGTCCCAAAGACGTCAAGTTCGACCTATTAATCGGGGTTAGTACGATCAACAACGTAACAACTGTTCAGTGTAGACGTTACTGGCATCTAAACCTGCTTTTGGAGCTCCTACGTTTGAGACGCAGCGGCCAACGGCGATCCAGCAGCAAGAGCGAGGAGAGGCGGGAGGGGTGACGGGGTGATCGGCGATGGTCGGAAGAGCGGCGCCTGCCATTGTTTCCCACGATGTTTGCTGAGAATCGGCGGATTCCCACGGGTCTCGGTCGGCGGCTGCGGCGGACTCGTGAGCGGTCGTGCTTGTTGCTGCAGTGTTGTGCGTCCGCGTGCATGTCGTCAGTGGCGGTGCAGTTGCGGCCGACGTTCGGATGCTGAGGACTGACTCGAGCGAAGCCTTCCTGCCCGCTGCGGACCATGGCAGCTGCCTTCACGTAATCGGGGACCAGCCGTTGGCGCTTAACAGCAGGCGCCGAACGATGCCGCTTCCGCGATCTCGGACCCCGTCGGTGGCCCCGCCGTGCGACCGGTAGTGCCGCGACGGCGGCACAAGGACGCGATCAACGCGGGACGACGACGACGACCGTGTCCACGTCGAGCAGTGCCATGAGCGACGTGTACCTCCCCGACGACCAGTACGCGGGATACCACCCGGTGCAGAACAACTACTCGTCTCCGCACGACGACGGGACGTTCGCGGTGAGCGGTTCGGCCTACTCGGGCGACTACGGGCGCGACCTGCTGCTCGACCTCGGTCAGCAGGCGGCCGGCGCGCCCGTCGACATGAGCAGTCATCCGGCCCGCGCGCACCCGTACTTCAACAGCGGCGGCGTGCCGTTCAAGAACGGGCTGGCCGACGGCGAGCCGGGTGCCCTGCTCGGATCGGCGGCCAAGGGCGCCGGCGAGGGCCCCCCGCAGGGCTCCCCGCACCTCGGGGTCCAGGCCCCGCGGCTGCCGCCCAGCCCGCTGCCCAGCCCGCCGTCCGAGGAGCGGTACCGGCGCGGCGAGCCGCGGCTCACCCGTGACGCGATGGACCGCTACCTGCGCGACCGCGGCGACATGGTCCTGGTGATTCTACACGCCAAGGTGGCCCAGAAGTCGTACGGAAACGAGAAACGGTTCTTCTGCCCGCCGCCCTGCGTCTACCTGCTGGGCGATGGCTGGCAGCGGAAGCGGGACCAGCTTCTGCGCGACGGGGAGGCCGACCAGGCTGCCCAGCTGTGCGCCTTCATAGGCATCGGCAACTCGGACCAGGACATGCAGCAGCTCGACTTCGCAGGCAAGAGCTACTGCGCCGCCAAGACGCTCTTCATCAGCGACTCGGACAAGCGCAAGCACTTCATGCTTTCCGTCAAGCTCTTCTACGGCAACGGCGAGGACGTGGGCGTCTTCCAGAGCAAGCGCATCAAGGTCATCTCCAAGCCGTCGAAGAAGAAGCAGTCGCTCAAGAACGCCGACCTCTGCATCGCATCGGGCACCAGGGTGGCGCTGTTCAATCGGCTGCGCTCGCAGACAGTGAGCACCCGCTACCTGCACGTCGACGGCGGCAACTTCCACGCCAGCTCGAGCCAGTGGGGCGCCTTCACCATCCACCTGCTGGACGACAACGAGTCGGAGGCTGAGGAGTTCACTGTGCGTGACGGCTACATCCACTACGGCTCCACCGTCAAGCTTGTCTGCTCGGTGACCGGGATGGCGCTGCCGCGGCTTGTCATCCGCAAGGTGGACAAACAAAATGCATTCCTGGACGCCGACGACCCAGTGTCCCAGTTGCACAAGTGTGCCTTCTACATGAAGGACACTGAGCGCATGTACCTCTGCCTCTCCCAGGAAAAGATCATCCAGTTTCAGGCAACGCCGTGTCCCAAGGAGCCAAACCGAGAGATGATCAACGATGGTGCCTCCTGGACCATCATCAGCACAGACAAGGCGGAGTACACCTTCCATGAGGGAGCCGGACCCGTGCGCGTTCCAGTGACGCCAGTGCCCGTGGTGAACAGCCTGCACCTCAACGGCGGGGGGGACATTGCGATGCTGGAACTGACGGGCGAGAACTTTGCCCCCAATCTCCGCGTCTGGTTCGGCAACGTGGAGGCGGAGACAATGTACCGCTGCGCCGAGTGCCTCCTCTGCGTCGTGCCAGACATCTCTGCGTTCCGCGAGGGTTGGCAGTGGGTGCGGCAGCCGACGCAGGTGCCAGTGTCTCTCGTGCGCTCTGACGGTGTCATCTATGCCACAGGACTTACCTTCACGTACACGCCGGAGCCGGGTCCCAGGCAACCGGGACCGTACCCGGCGCTGGTGCACGACATCCTGAGGCCCGCCAACGCGCGTTCGCATCCTCCAGCACCAGAGGACCACGGAGCACCCACGGCAAACTTTGGACACCATATGCACTTTGGCTCTCACCACCAGAACATGTCCTGAGGGGGGCCTCTCGATAACTTATTATGCATCTCGGCCACATGTCTTCGACCGTTGTCCCGGTGTGACGGACGAATTTGTGCAATTCGAATGCCCTCCTGAGTGAGCTGCCACAGTGAGTGTGCTTTCCCTAGGGCAGTGTTCGTAAAAGGCCGTACGAAGGAAAGGTAGTTAGCAGCCGGAAGCACTAACACAGCTCCTCGCAATGAAGAAGGACCAAGCTTGCTTCCGGCCGACACGATTGGCAGCGTGGGTGTCGCTGCTGTCACGTCCTTGTGGGAGCGTTCTTCCATCTTGGAGACCTAAAGATTTTGGGGTTGTCTGTGGGAATGTGTCGGCACAGCCTTGCACCTAGCGCCCATCCACACTCTTGTGTTTGAAACTTGCAAAAACCCTGTTGTTTTTTATGCATTTAGAATATTATGCAAAAAGAAGAGAATCTAGAGGGAGCGGTCCACCAAGGAACTCTCGGATTTTCTACAGCTAGCCCAAAGATAACGGACGATATCGCTAAATGGAGGATATGGGGATGTCATAGCTTTGACACCGTGCTACGGAAGGGTCAAAAGGGAACAGGTCCACTCTGCATTCTGACGTCGTGTGTCAATCATTGTCTGTGGAAGCGGCGTGCTGGCAACCTCGGAATGGCAGTTAAGGTCACCAAAGAGGAATGTAAGCTACTTTTTTGTTTGTTCCTTTAAGTCGATGTTAATTTGGCACGCTTGCCTGGGCATATTGTTTGTTCTAATCCTCGATTGGAATTCCATCGTAATGGTACGGCCACTCCATCTCTTTTTGGTACAAGTTGCCATGTGGCGCTTCCTCTAGCCGTAACCTGAGTGTTGCCTTTTTCACCAAAACAGGGCCAACTCATTACATGCTTCATCTGTTTCATCATGCACTGTAGTTCTTAGTTGGCAGCATCTTTACAGCAGATGTGGCTTGTTAACGTGGCTAAGTTCTCCCAACACGTTTTTAAATTCAAGCCGGTAATGTGTCTTGCATATCCAATGTGTGCAAGAAGAAACGTTTTAGCTTTTAACTTTAGGGGTCAGTTTCAGCTCTTTTGAGTTGCTCTGGGCTACCTTTCTTATCATTACAGAACTTTTGTTTTACTAAATCCCAAGGAATTGAATTTTGCATGCATGTAAGGAAAGTGTGTAAGCTTTAGTGATGTGACAAGGCTATTTTTGCCGTTTTTTTAAAATCTATCGCTACATTGTGCGGTCTCTACATTTGGTCAAATGACTGGCCATAATAATAATAATAGATTGTACCAGACGTAAATTGAGTGGCTGTGATAAGACCTACACATGACATTTCCAATGGGGTGCACTGAACGGCTCTCATTGGGTGATGGGAACTACAAAACAGGCCATGGCTAGTACAAAGCATTGAAGCTTGCTTCACTGCCTCGTATCAGATTCTGAGTAAACGGCCCTGTGTTTGTACAAATTCAGCCCCATTCGGTGCATTCCAGCTTCCTCTTCTTGTGCACTACTTTCATTCTCTGGAGGCAGTTAGAGCCTACTTTTATTTTTTTTTAGCACTCATCTTTTGGTGGTACCCTGCCCAAATGGTGTCATATAGAATCTTTGGATTTAATTATTTTTAGGAAACCCAACACATTTGTTTTGTGAGTGATATTGTAAATCATGTTTCTCTATAGTCTTTTATGCTGCAATACATTCTTTAATGTTACTTTTATTCAGCACTGAAATGTGAACTATTGAATTGTGCTACACCTTCATGGCATTTCCTTGTGTGCAGAGTATATTTAGAAACACCTATCAGAGCTCATACTTTTTTTCTCGGTTTGTGTGAATAACGGGAGGAAAAGAAGAATGGACAATGCCTATGCATTCCAGACATTAATTGCATTAAAATTACCTTCTCCCACAGAAATGCAGGTTGTGTTCTCGCAATTATTGGCCAGAATTTTGGAGCACAGATGTCCTACTCTAAGGATGAGTACCCTAGGTGTGGACTCGGTTCCGAATCTGCACGCGGTATGAATGTAGTCAGAACTGGTAAGGAGAACCTAACACGTCACCTCTTGGTGTTTATTCAGCTTCTAAAGATACTGGCTAGGCTGCACATGGGTGCCACTAACGCCACCCAATTAAACAGGTACAGCTGTATAGGGAGTATTCACTGGCGGCCATAGCTGTGTGCGCGAATGCTGAGAGCGTGCTGACGGCGAGCTTCCACAGTTCTTTTGCAACATGCATTCTGCACCATCAAGAGTGCCGGTCTTAGCAGCCTATTGATGTGAGCTCGTTCTGAGCACGCGCTCTAAACATCACCCACAAATATGGCGTCCAGTGAATACTCCCTATAGATCCATCCATCCTCAAGCTCGAGCGTACTGGCGATGGTGCTTTTATCGTCTGATTAACATGCACGGAAAGTGTATTGAGCTGCACAATTGATGGGAAACTCTCTTAGCAGTTGCATATTTTGTTGACATTTATCTTCTAATCACTTGCCTCGCATCAATTCTTGGTTTATTGATGTTTTGTTTCATTTGCCAGCTGGAGTGACTGCAAATGCTTTCATATTCATGTGGCGGTTTCTTATTGTGCCCCACTCGCTTTCTTCCTAACTTGTTGGAAACCCAAAAGTGAATTCTTAGAAGAGCAAATGTTTCTGGTAAAAATCGGTGGACCATTACACGTAGCACGCACAGATATTGCACAGTACGCTTATTTTCTTGGTTTTTTGCGATTTTAAACGATAGTTTTTTTTTTTTTTTTGTTTTTGTTTTTTTTTTAATACAGAACGCAATTTTTATAGCTTTCAAAAACTGACGCTGTTTTGCTGAGGGATCAGGATCAAGGTTAGCATACCAATTTTCTCCACAGAGTACGTGCGCAGAGTTTGAACCAACACCCTTAGGGTGTAAAGTCCTGTCCACACGCTTGCGTTTGCATAGGGCGGAGTTTGTGTGATCTCTTACGACAACAAAACACGCTGGCGCCATCTATGAGGTTACCTTGGACCTGCGTTTAACGAGAGTGAGGGTTTTGTGAGGGGGGTGGGGGGTTGCGCCATGACGAAATGCTGTATGAGGGGGAGCAGGGAAAGGAGGCCCCAGCAGAATGGAAGATTTCGGGGGTACGTGGCCTGCTCCAAGATATTTGTATTTTTCTACGTGGTGTATCACTGTGTCTTGTATCTCCAGGGGTTCTCCTTCTCATTGCTGAAAACTATTTACCCGACTTGCCCCTACTGAAGTTTAAGCCTAAACTGTCCCTGCTGCAAATCGTAATTACTTCCTGTATTGTTTCACGACTTTCTGATTCGAGTACAATGTCGTCTGCATACATCAACCCTCTCAATACTTAGTTCCTGTATTGTTTCACGACTTTCTGATTCGAGTACAATGTCGTCTGCATACATCAACCCTCTCAATACTTTATCATTTATGTCCTTCCTCCATGTAAGTCAGGTCAAAACCTAGGTTGCGCTGCTTTAATATTTTTTTCCACCTCACTGAGGCATATCATAAAGAGTAAGGTAGGCAACCCTGTCTAAGTCCTCTTTTTATTGCTGCTGGTCTTGTTCTTTCGGCTTCCCATGTAATAACTACCCTATTCATCGTATATAACCGTTCCATAAACTTAACCATGGTTCCCCCTAGCCCATATCCGTTCAGTTGGTCCCAGAGTTTTTCCTGATTCACATTGTCATATGCCCCTTTGATGTCCAAAAATGCTACCCGTAATGGCCTTCGACTTGTCATTGCTCTCTCTATGCACTATGTGATTACGAATAAGTTATCATCTAGTCGTCTATCTGTCCTGAAACCGTTTTGAAGCTCCCCAGAATCGGCTTTCTCTCTCCCCATTCTTCCATTCTTTTTACAATTTGCATGGCTAGTCAGTATATGACTGAAACTACAGTGATTGGTCGGTATGATTTGATACTGCCTTTGTCTCCCTTGCCTTTATATAATAATCTCATCCTCCTCAATTTCCAGTCACTCGGTGCCTCCCCTCCCATAATTATCTGGTCAATCACCTGCCTTAGTTTCAATTTGCTTCTTTGGCCTACGACTTTTATCAGACTCATTGGTATGCAGTCTGGACCTGTCGCCGTTCCAGCTGGAACCTTTCCTTCTGCTTTTTTCCCATTCCCCAGTGGTCATTTCCTCTTCTTCGCTATGGTCCTCCTCTTGTGTTGTGTAGACGCTACCATTCCCTGCGGCCTGATCCGGTTCTAACTCCGAAAATGCTGCTTCGATTGTGTGTCTACTGTATACTCTTGCCTCTTCCCCCTCTACCTTTGTCCCTTCCCGTGGAGTTAGTGTCTGCTGATACACCTCGGTCCTTTTTCCCCTAAGCACTGATGTGTTCCCAGAACCTTTTTGCCGCATTCCTATCACTCTGGTTTATCTCTGATATCTACCGGACCCCTGCCCTCTCAATTTTGGCCTGTATCAATGGTGATGCCTCCCACTTTCTTTCCTGAAAGTCCTCCCATTTTATGCCATTTCGGCTGGTGTGCCCCCCCCCCCCCCCTCTTCCTTTCTTTTTTTTTTTTTTGTTTTTGATGCAGTACGCGTCGATGTTTCTTGACTGAAAGCTAACCCGCTTGCCACCCTCTAAAGATCAGCTCGCATCATTAATATTTGTTTTAGTGGAGTACGCGGCTTCACTTTGACGTGGTATTTCGGCTGTGATCATATTTCGTGCCACTAAAGCGATGCCAGTCATTTATTTTGGTCTCGTTTTCGACCGGAGTTGCTCTTTAAAGGGGTCATGAAATGAATTTTGGGTTGGAATAAATAATTTTAGGTTGGAATTTTACTAACCGCACATCGTTTAGTTTTAGATTGGTCTTTCCTTCGAGAGCTCTCCGTCTTTTTACTGTGCTACATCCACGGTACCCAAAGCACGTCATCCTACCCCAGCTCCGGCATTGGACACAAGCACTGAGTCACTCGGACGTGTGCGCTCGTCAACAACCAATCCGGCGACGAATATTTGAATTCACGTTCGTGGCCACTGAATGCCTTGACGGCACTTATCATCGATTGCGAATGACAAGCTCCATGGCGTGTGCGTATAAAGCACGGTGGAAGCTTGGAGTCATCGTACCGGTGCCCAAGCACGTCACGACCGCGTGAATAGAGAGTTTTAGTAGATCGTTCCGATACCTCCGATAGCCCCGATAACGATACTAATAGAGAGTTTTAGTAGATCGTTCCGATACCTCCGATAGCCCCGATAACGATACTATGCATGCGCAATGGAGGCGGTGGCGGAGAATTGGGATATCGTTATCGGAGTCATGGGAACGATCTACTAAAACTCTCTATTCATGCGCAAGGGAGGCGGTGGCGGAGTATCGGGATATCGTTATCGGAGTCATGGGAACGATCTACTAAAACTCTCCAATCTCATTTCGCGTTTGAGTTGGGGAGGAAAGGAGGAAGAAGTTGAAAACCCATTTCATGGCACTCAAGCGATTTTTTCGAGCTACCCCAACTAACTTTTTTTTTCTTTCGGAATCATTGGTTTTTAGCTTTTCTGGTACGCTATTTAGTATCGCGAAATTCAGAATAGTTATTGTGAAATCGGCAAATGGCAATGACGCCAAGTCCAAAATTCGAATCTACCCGCGCCTCAGTGCGGTGATGTCAGGGGAAGGCAGGCTTGTAGGTCGAGCGAGCAGTCTCAAAAATGGACTATGCCGTGCATTTTGTTTCGTGCTGATGCGCGTGTGCTGGAGCGAGCTTCCAAAGCCTTCATTTGACACAATGAAACTGCTTCGAGTGAGTTGGGAACTAATTCCACAGTCCAAAGAGTGAACCCCTGACTTCCATTAAAGTAGAAGTTTGGGCTAGTTGGTATTTCATGATTAAAGATTAAAACAGCGCAAGGACACGGACAAGAACAAGAAGGTAGACAAACAAAGCGCTGTTTGTTTGTCTACCTTCTTGTTCTTGTCCGTGTCCTTGCGCTGTTTTAACCTGACTTCCGCTGACGTCACTGGTGCCATGTTCGAATGTCTCCGGTCTTGTAGCGCGCAACATTCTTTCTTAGTTCCAGACACTTTTGACGATGTTTATAAACGACCATTTCTCATTAATAGTACGCCCATTCGGAGATTCGGACGTAACTTGGGTTACGTTGGACGTAACGCTGCAGATACTTCGTAACATATAAGTGAACTGGTATCGCCACATCGTTTCCGCGCTCGCTCGCTGCATATTTGTCTGTAGCGATATGGTGCGCACTTTCTGAGTACCGCAGTGCTCGAGGCACGCTTATGAACCGGGTCTACGTTTTCATCGGTTTCCTGTCGGCAGAAAGCTGCGATCGTAGGTTCAGGAGCAACGCTGCACTAGATGACATGATCACAGTTGAGCACTTCCTCTCCTTCAGTGAGTCAGCGTTCGCTTTTCGTCGATGTGGCCGATGAATGTCGCGAGAGACAGGGTAACTGAAAAGTTTGAAAAGCATTTCAGTTTTTCAAATTGAAAAGTTTGAAAAACATTGATACAACGCGTGCCGGCCACGCACGATTCAGCGCGCGCGCCCGATAGGACGCGACTGGCCGGGCACGCCAGCGCGTGACCAGACGTGTGCTTGTTTTGTCTTCCAAGAGGACTGCGGTGACATTGAACGCGAGAGGAGACTAGATTACTTCTATCGTGCATTTAAGGCCGGTTCACACATACAGCGGAGCGCCAAGTTAGCGCTCGAAGGACCGCTCATGTGGCCGCGTGATGTAGCGCTCGGTTAGAGCTTCAGCAGCGCTCTGTTAGCACTTCAGAAGCACTTTGTTAGCGCTCTCACGCTCCTTCTGCCGTGCTTGCTGCTGCGGAATAGCGCGTGCACGGCCATTCCTTTGTTGTTGTTTTTCCTTTGGCATTTAAAAGAGAGGAAGTAAAAGAG